TGGTCATTTTAAGATGTCATTTTTATCTTTTAAACTAACCATTGTGCCCTTAAAATCAGTAAGCACCTACTACTTGACTTGAAAAGTGTTCTTAAAAAGTAGAACATTTTCTCAAGAGAGTAAATTCATTTGTATTCAATTTAAAAATTATCATATTTGTCTGAACCACTTAGTATTACAGTAAGTGTATTCTGCATCTACAGGAAGAGAGACATGAAAAAGATACAGGTTGAAAGAGTAGAGATAGATGATTTCAGAACGGATAAGATCAATGTTTATATTTCTAACACAGAACTGTTTTTACTAGGGAATTTTTACCTGAGAATCTTACAACTGAATCCTGTTTTATTAAATGAACTGGGCACCAGAGCTCTAAGTAGCTTCCTAGTTTTTCATCCATCTCTGCTTTCCTGCTCACCCCTCCATACACTCCTTCCCCAACTCAAACTTCTGCCTCTGATCTTTAAAATTGCTTTTTAGAACATTCTTCTCTGTATCTCTCATTCATGGATTTTTCTTAGTAAGTTAATTAAAAAAATGGGTTGATTTAAAGAATAAATTTTGAATATTAAAGGGTAACATCTGACATGTATTCTCTTCCTGTGCCTCATTATTAGCATATATAATGGACTATGTAGTTACCTCCAGCATAAAGAAGATGAACCAGTTCCTTTGGGATGCTTTCGGTTCTACTAATTATTTTATTTGCTAATCAGTTATTTCCTTGTATCAGATAGAAACCTTTGTTAAAGTTGGACCATGCTATGAATATATCCGACTGTTTCCTTAGACAAGCAGAAAGAGGGGGAATATACTTTTCATATATGTAATTTTTCTTTGGTCATTAAAATGGTATCAAAACCTTTTTTATTTAAATTGCCTATAAGCAACTTCAGAATAATTCTGAATAATTCTGGGACTTTGACAAAAAAGATCATGGATACAGCATTTATAACTAAGCCATTTAGAAACTTGAAGTAATTTATAAATCTGGATTGTTCATATCACCGTTTGCTGGGGAAAGGAATATTGCTGTAACCATTTTACTCTTACTGTGGTTGATTTAATTATTAAGTGTTTATTGTTTAAAGCTTGAGGAGGACAAATGATTGAAGGAAAAATATCAACTGATTGTGTTAACTGTTCAGAGATCCATAAATATTTCCTTTATAATTCAGACTTGGAGTGGATTTTTAAACATTACGGCATAAGAAAGCAACCTCTTAATTTTTCACGTGAAAAAAATTTCTATTTTAAAAATTAGTATCATAATATGGTCTTCCGTACAAAATCTGTTCTTTTTTCAAGTCTGAAATAAGATACTACTTTTAATCTTAAAATCTACAGAACAATCATATAATTGGGTAAAAATATGTTCTCTTTTCTAAAGATTTTGGTGGAAATTTGTATGGTTAAATCTACAAAATGTGCTGCATTTGTAAATTTTGCAAACTAGAGTTAAAATAGATGCTTCTTGCATTTAGTTCCTCAGGTTCACATCCTAATATTGTAAATTACAAATTACGATCTTACCTGCCTTCATTTAAGAACAGTCCACAAACAGTCAATTACAATGTAAAGTAATATTTTTATTACTGTTTTCAACAAGACTGCTTCGGGTGAGGGTAGAGGTGCGAGAGAGGGAGGGGCACATCTGACATTGGCACTGAGATACATTTAACATCCGCAAAACTTTGTTTAAAAGAGAAATTTTACATATAATTAAATACTTTTTTTTCACTTGGTGACAACATTCAGGCAACCCAAAACAAAACGAAGGCTGAGAGAGAAAAAGAGAAAGAAAAGAAAGAGCGAGAGAGAGAGAGAGAGAGAGAGAGAGAGAGAGAGAGAGAAAGAAAAGAGAAAAAGAAGTGAGGAAGCGAAGGAAAAGGGAGAAACTACTATACATTGATTTGAAAATGTACCTTGGGTTTCATTTTGTGGTGACAAAGCCCGATTGCTTCTTTTGTGTGACCTTTTAAATTCACATTGTTTGGAAGAAAACGATCACTTTTGTGCAAGAATGTGATTTTGTTTGGTCGGTTGATTTGCTCTCCTTTTGTTTGCTTGTTTACGAAGGTCTTCTGCCTGGTTCCCGTTTCTTTTAGGTGGCTTCCATAAAAGTTTGTGTCTGGAGTTTCCGCTATTTGTCGCCGAGTTGTGTGTGTGTTGTGTTTGAGAGCATTCCCGTCTGTGTCGCTTTTCAAGCAGTCCCCAGCACCCTATAGTTTGTCCAGGCTTTTGGGATTGGTGAGAATTTCCCTGGCCAACCTCCAGGTCTGCTTGGCAGCGCTCTCCAGGGCCGAATGGGGCTTGCCCTGAAAAAGGTCGAGGTTGGGCAGAAAGTAGTGAGGGCAGCGGCGGCACTGCAGGCAGGAGATGAGCTGCAGCAGGATGCCGTTGAGCCGATCGCCGAGGCACGCCTCGTCCCAGTCCGTTTCCCGCGGGTGCTTCTCGCACTCGTACAGCAGCAGCGTCTTCATGTGGTAGTTGTTGAGCGGCTGGCCGGGCAGCTCCAGGTGGCGATCCCGCAGCGTCTTCAGCACGGAGAGGCACTTGTTTCGGCAGCCGCCCATTAGCAGGCGGTTCTCAGCCTCCCCGAACTGTAGCACCCAGGCATCGCTCTCCGCGGAGCTCTGCTTGCCGGTCAGCGAGTAGCATTCCTTAGAGAGCAAGTTGAACCCTTCGGCCTTGACCTCCGCCACCCGATTGGGGCCGGGCCAGGGGATGTGGGGCATAGGCCACTGTGCCGCACTGCGAGGCCAGATACCGGTGCACTTGAACGCGGGAGTGATTTGCACCACATAGCGCTCCCTGATGCGCAGCTTGACCTCGCTGGTATCTGCGATCATCTTGACCACATCCCGATAGCTGCACTTGTCCACCGCCTGAGCCACCAGCGTCTGGAAACGCGAGCGGATCTTGCGCGCCGAGAGGTAGCCGGACGCTGTGATGAACTCGACCCAGAGAGACATGCTCCGCTTCCGCCCATCGCTCAGTTTGAGCACCGCGCAGCCGGGCAGCGAGCCGTCGTCCACGAAGTTGAAGACGCCCATCTGGTTTAGGTAGAGCACCACCTCGAATTCTGTGGGCGAGATGACCTCCAGCCCCTCATAGCGGGCATCGATCTCGCTCAGGGAGCTGATGAAGCGAGGCTCCTGCACCTCCACTTCCTTTAGCACGTCCGAGACCACCTTACAGACCTCTCGGATGGTCTTGGCGATGGCCGCCTTGCGCGCTTGGCAGCGCTCAGTGTAGTATTTATTGAGCTGGTAGACCAGCTTGGCCTGAGCGGCGATCATGTTGGGGCACAGGTCCGGGCTGTACACCGGCGTCTCGCAATACGTTGAGGGATCCAAGGCTCACGCGCTGGTGGTGGCCCTGCGGCTTGCGAAAGAGGCGCTGCGTTCCCCTAAGCCCCACTTTCACTCTTGTTTTCCACCTGGGCTGACCGGCTGACGTTTCAGCCGTCCAGCTCTTTCTCTCCCCTCTTTTGAAAGCTTTTTTTCTTCTCCAGAAAAAAACAAACAAACCCAAAAAACAGAAAAGATGATCTTTGAAAGAGAAAAGTACCTGCTGGGACTATTTTGCTTTCTCTTGATGGGTGAAATCAAGACGTGCCTGCGGAAAAGATGAAGGGGAGGGGGGGAAAGACAGGGTGAGAGAGAAAAATTCAGGTTACCAAGAGGTTAGGCTTAGACGTCTGCAGCGGAGATGGCCCAGAAATCTGGAATTGAGGTCTTTTACGTGCCAAAGTAAATTTAAAAATAAAAGCGAAACATTCAGTGTTTCATTCTTAAACTTCTCTCCCAGACTGGTAGCACGTCTTCATTCGGCTTAGGTGAGTGCTTTTCTCCTCACCCTCCCCCAGATGAAAGGTGAAGGGTGTAATTAATGTCCCGAGAGCAGCGAAGTGCAACTCTGGCCGTGGCACACTCAGGTTTGCAGACGCCCGCCCGGCACTCTCAGCGTGTGGGTCTGGTCTCTTCTCAGGGGGTCCTCTTGTAGCGGTTTTCCTCTTTTCCTACTGGAGGCGTTGTTTGGACTGGGTTTGTTTATTTGCAGTGGGTTCTTCTTGTCTTTCTCTAGGTGCAAACTGCTGGAAGTTGTTTGATACTCATTTCTGCTTCGTAATTTATAATTTTGGCCCTCACAAAATCTATTTTAGTGTGACGAAGTCGTTGCTTGCGTTGCATCTGGGGTTTGGTTATAAAGATTCAAGGGTTTTTCTTCTCCTCCCCCTTTAGGTTGCTTGTGCAGATTCCACTTTCTGAGTCGTCTCTCCCTCCTCCCCTCAGATGTCTCTCTCTCTTTCCCTCTTCTTAATCTCCCTCCCTCTCCCTCCCTCCTTCTCTCCCCTTCCCTTCCTCTCTCTCCCTCCCTCTCTACCTCTGTCTCCCTCCCCTTCTCTCCCCCCTCTC